TTTTTTTTTTTTTTTTGAGACATTTGAGTCTTTGTTGCCCATGCTGGAGTCCAGTGGCGCAATCTTGGCTCACTTCAACCTCTGCCTCCTGGGTTCAAGTGATTCTTGTGCACCAGCCTCCCAAGTAGCTGGGACCACAGGAGCACACTACCACACCCAGCTAATTTTTAAAATTTTTTGTAGAGATAGGGTCTCCCTATGTTGCCCAGGCTGGTCTTGAACTCCCGGTCTCAAGTGATCTTTCTACCTTGGCCTCCAAAAGTGTTGAGATTACAGGTGTGAGTCACTGCACCTGGCCTCTTTTAAGATGTTTATTGTTTTAGCTCTTATATTTAGGTCATTGGTCCATTGTGAGTTCATTTTTGTATATGATGTGGTATAGGGGTCCAACTTTATTCATTTGCATGTGGAAATCCAATTGTCCTAGTACCATCTGTTGAAGAGACTGTTTTTTCTCCATGAATGGACTTGGTACCATTGTCAAAAATGTGTTGACCATGGATGACTGGGTTTATTCCTGGATTCTCATTCTTTTTTAAAAATATGAAATGCTTCATAAATTGTGCATCATCCTTGCACAGGGCCATGCTAATAACCTCTCTGTATCATTCCAGTTTTGGTATATGTGCTGCCGAAGAGAGCACTGGACTCTTAGGTCTATTCTATTGGTCTACATGTCTGGCATAAGGATGTCATTACCACACTGTGCTGACTACTGTAGCTTTGTAGAAGGTTTTGAAATTGAGAGTACAAGTCAGTCCTCCAACTTTGCTCTTTTTCATGATTGTTTTGGCTCCTCAGAACCCCTTGCAATTTCATATGAATTTGAGGATTGGCTTTCCATTTCTGCAAAATAAGCTTGTTGGACATTTGGCAAGAGCTGCATTGGATCTGTAGATTGCTTTGGGTAGTATTGACATCTTGCCAATATCAAGTCTTCCTATCCGTGAAAAATAATGTCTCCTCATTTATTTAGGTATTCTTCAATTTCTTTCAGCAATGTTTTACAATTCTTAATGTAAATTTATCCCTTGGCATGTTATTTGTCTATTGTATGCTACAATAGCTATATGCTACTGTAAATGAAAGTGATTTAAAAATTTTTTTTGAACTGTCATTGCTGATGTATAGAAATACAATTGATTTTTGTGTATTGATCTTATAACCTACATCTTTGCTGAATTTATTAGCTCTAGTGGCTTCCTTGTAAATTCCTTAGGATTTTCCACATATAGGTTTATGCTGTCTGTGAATAGAGATAGTTTTACTTCTTTCTTTCCAGTTTGGATCTATTCTTGACAATCTTGCATAATGTAAATCCAAATGTTTCCATTTTTAATGGTCATTTTCTTAAAGTGATTTTGAAAACTGTTTAAGTTTCCAGTTGATATAGTATATATTGAAAGGAAATATGTAACTGTTTTTTAACTTAAGGTTTTTTTTTCCCCATAGATTTGGCTAGCTGATTGGCTGCTGAAAAATAATCCTAACAAACCCAAACTTTGTCGCCATCCAATTGTAGAAGAACCTTATTAAAAAAACCTCGAAAGAACAAATCATGAACTATCTTATTGTAAAAGGCTGTATTTCTATTGTTTGAAAAAATTATTTCTAGGGTTTAAGTAACTACAAGTAAAATAAATTTATTTCTTAAAAATAAGTGTTAAAGGAATAACTATTCTATGAAGCAGATAACATTAAGGTAAAGTATAGGCTTAGAGTATGATTTTTTTTTTTTTTTTTTTTTTTAAAGTATGATTTTAACAGTGATGTGGGGCCGGGGGCAGTGGTTCACACCTGTAATCCCAGCACTTTGGGAGGCCGAGGTGGGTGGATCATGAGGTCAGGCGATCGAGACCATGGTGAAACCCTGTCTCTACTAAAACTACAAAAAATTAGCTGGGCGCAGTGGCAGGTGTGTGTAGTCCCAGCTACTCAGGAGGCTGAGGCAGGAGAATGGCATGAACCTGGGAGGTGGAGCTTGCACTGAGCTGAGATCGTGCCACTGCACTCCAGCCTGGGTGACAGAGCAAGACTCCGTCTCAAAACAAAACAAAACAAAACAAAAAACAATGATGTAACACTAGGTAATGGAAAACTGATGTAAGATGTTGCTAGATGTTTTTCTTAAGTTTGAGAAGTAAGACATAAAGTTTAGTTATACATTTTCCCAAGCACATATCCTATATCTAGATACATAATTAATGCACAGTTGAGACAGTCTAGTTTAAAAAGCATAGTAGGTGCTTTTGTAGGCCATAAGCATGATAATTTGGTTTCATGCTTATGTGTGAGATATGCTTGCCTCAAACCTTGTTACAGCATCATCACATTACCTGTTTGATGTAAAAAGTAAAAAATAGAAAGGTGTAAATATATAAATAATTTTTTGGTATAATGAAAATGGCCAGAACCAGGGGATGATCTTAAACTAATCACTTGGATAACTATTAGGCTGGTGCAAAAGCAATTGTGGTTTTTGCCATTAAAAAACAGTGGCAAAAACCACAATCATGGCTGGTCTTGGTGGCTAACGCCTGTAGTCCCAGCACATTGGGAGGCCGAGGTGCGTGGATCATCTGAGATTGGGAGTTTGAGACCAGCCTGACCAACATGGAGGAACCCTGTCTCTACTAAAAATACAAAATTAGCTGGGCCTCCCAAAGTGCTAGGATTACAGGCTTGAGCCACCGTGCCTGGCCTTTTTTAAATTTTGAGACGGAGTCATGCTCTGTCACCAGGCTAGAGTGCAGTGGCATGATCTCAGCTCACTGCAACCTCCGTTTCTCAGGTTCAAGCGATTCTTCTGCCTTAGGCTCCCAAATAGCTGGAACTACAGGCGCACACCACCACGCCCAGCTAATTTTTGTATTTTTAGTAGAGGCTGGGTTTCACTATGTTGGCCAGAATGGTCTCGAACTCCTGACGTTGTGATCCACCTGCCTCGGCCTCCTAAATGCTGGGATTACAGGCGTTGAGCCACCGCACTCAGCCTGTCTTTTAAATAAGTGGGTGTCTTGAGAAGAGGGACTGTCTTATATTAAAAGAGAGTTAAGATATATAATCAAAATCAGTACCTGTTCCTAGGTTGGACCCTGGTTTAGGCAGACAGGCTACAAAGAACATTCTGAGACAACTGAGAAGATTTGAATCTAGACTGAGTATTAGATGAGATGAAAATACATTGCCTTGTGCCTGTAATCCCAGCTACTCAGGAGGCTGAGGCACAAGAATCACTTGAACCTGGGAGGTGGAAGTTGCAGTGAGCTGAGACTGCATCCCTGCACTCCAGCCTGTGCAACAGAATGAGACCCTGTCTCAAAAAAAAAAAAAAAAAGAAAAGAAAAGAAAATATAATGTAAGAAAATGGAAAGAAAGATTGTTAGCTGAAAAAAAGCATGTTACAAAGCAATATGCACAATGTGCACCCATTTAATTTTGGTTTTGATTTTGTTTTGTTTTAGTAAGATAGGGTCCCGCTATGTTGCCCAGGCTGGTCCCAAACTCTGGGGCTCAAGCAATCCTCCTGCCTTGGCCTCCCAAAGTGTTAGGTTTATAGGCATGAGCAATTGTGCCCAGCCATGTGTTCTTATTTAGATTAAAAAATGAATAAATAAATGTGTATAGAATAACATGTAGAAGGATACCCACTCAAGTGTTATTATCTATAATTGCTGGATAGTAGAAATATTTTATTTTTCTTCTTTTGCTTAGCTGTATTTTAAATTTTTCTACAGCATTTATGTAACTACTTTTGTAATTAAAAGAAGCATTAAGATTACAAAAAATAAATGCTGTAACAAATGTCAACTTTAAAAGGGCTGGCAACACGTCCTTATTAATAGACTGTGTTTAAACTGTCAGTGGCTAAGATGTTTTGCAAGTTCTCAGTGTTGGTATTTTTCTGAAGTTTTGGACATACTCCTTCTGAGTCTGTGTGCCCACTGTATTTTAAAACACCTTTAGCATCAGTGTTGGGAGAACAAACCAAAATCTTAAAAATAAAGATAAATAGCCGGGCACGGTGGCTCACACCTGTAATCCCAGCGCTTTGGGAGGCTGAGGTGGGCGGATCACGAGGTCAGGAGATCGAGACCATCCTGGCTAACACAGTGAAACCCCGTCTCTACTAAAAATGCAAAAAATTAGCCGGGCGTGGTAGCGGGCGCCTGTAGTCCCAGCTACTCGGGAGGCTGAGGTAGGAGAATGGTGTGAACCTGGGAGACAAGGCAGAGCTTGCAGTGAGCTGAGATCGTGCCATTGCACCATTGCACTGTAGCCTGGGCAACAGAGCGAGACTCCATCTCAAAAACAAACAAACAAACAAAACAAAAGATAAATAATAAATTGTTATATTTTTTAGCAACGACCAAGGACATACAGGAAAAAACAAATCATTTTTACAGTAGAATTCCAGTGTGACAGCTTTAGGAGGTCATTTCCGCATTCAAAGCCTCTGTCATGGAGGAAAGAAAAAAAAGGGCAGCACTGTGTGTAGCAAAAAATTCCAACTGGGTGTGGTGGCTCATGCCTATACTCCTAGCACTTTGGGAGGCCAAAGCAGGAGGATCACTTGAGGCCAAGAGTTCAAGACCAGCCTGGGCAACATAGCAAAACCACGTCTCTACAAAAAGTATAAAAATTAGCTGGGTGTAGTGGCCTGCACTTCTGGTCTCAGCCACTTGGGAAGCTGAGGTGGGAGGATTGCTTGAGCCCAGGAGGTCAAGGCTGCCATAAGCCATAATCATACCAGTGCTCTGCAGCCTAGGGGACAGAGGAAGATTCTGTCTAAACATATCAAACAAAAAAAAAGAAAGAAAGAAAGAAAAATTCTGTGCTGGTAGTCATCTCCAATCCAGACCTGCCATTCGTTGTTGTTGTTGTTGTTGTTTTAATGGAGCAGGAGCTGAGTGCGGTGGCTCATGCCTGTAATTTCAAGGTTTGGGAGACTGAGGTGGGCCAATCGCTTGAGCCTAGTAGTTTGAGACCAGCCTGGGTAACATGGGGAAACCACATCTCTAGTAAAAATACAAAAATTAGCCGGACATAGTGGTGCACGCCTGTAGGCCCAGCTACTTGTGAGGCTGAGGCAGGAGGATCATTTAAGCCCAGAAGGTCAAGGCTGTAGTGAGCCATGATTGTGTAACTGCACACCAGCCTGAGCGACAGTGCTAGAACCTGTCTCAAAATAAATAAATAAATAAAGATAAAATGGAAGGGGAAAAGTGGAGAAAAGCAGACTAATTTAAGATATATTTTAGGGATCGGTAGACAAATGCACATGCAAATGGAAAATAATGTAGTTATCATGGAATTCTTTAATTTTGCACACATTTGATTTCCTTACTTCATGGGCCAGGAACTGGGAAGTGCAGCATAAGGTGAGTAGGAAAATGAGAAGTCTGCCTTCTTGTTTACTTCCAAAATAACTAGAAGAGGAGAAGTCTGTCTTCCAAAATAACCTGTTAAGTGTTACCAAAGTACTGTGCATGCATTTGTGGTTGTTAAGTACTGGTGCCTTAATGCATTTTTATCATACAGAATCATAGCGTGGCATCCTTGTTAAGCATGATATGTCATTTTGTTTGGTTCCTTTCTCCAGGACTCAAACTAAAGAGAGCCAAAAAAGCAAGCAAGCATGCAGCTCTCTTAAAACTTGAAACTAAACAGAAGTTTAGATTCCTCTCTTTTTTCTTTAGAAGTTTATATCTGGGATGGCATCTAGAAGCCCCCTCTTCCCAGGCCTCTTGCCAATCTTCTTGTACTTAGCCAGAATAAATGGTACATGTCTAACCTGGGCATTCCTACTTAAGTTTCTATTTGTGTGCATGTGTGTGGCATGGGGATGGGGGACGTGGGTGTGGGATTTTGGAGCATGAGCTAATGCTTGGAGAAAGGAGCCCAGGGCAATAACTTGTCTGTCCTGTGTTAAGGGTGTCATGGATAAGCTTGATTTGAAAGTTATATAGTATTTGAGAAGTACTCTCCCAGTTCAGAAATACTGCCACTTCTCTTAGGCAGTTAACTCTTTATAAGAACTATTCAGATGATGCTTTTATTATTATTTTTTCTTTTTGATACAGAGTCTTCTGTCACCCAGGTTGGAGTGCAGTAACACTGTCATAGCTCACTGCAGCCTTGACCTCCTGGGCTCAAGTGGTCCTCCCACCTCAGCCTCCTGAGTAGCTGGGAATACAGGCATGAGCCACCACGCCCAGCTAATTAAAACAATTTTTTTTTGTAGAGACAGGGTCTCACTTTGTTGCCCAGGCTGGTCTTTTACTCCTGGGCTCAAGCTATTCTTCTGCTTTGGCCTCTCAAAGTGTTCAGTTTATAGGCGTGAGCCACTGCACCTGGTCTAAGACTTGATTTTTGATTCAGAGATGGTCCAGTTCTTCTCAGTTTGCTATTTCTGTGACTTCAATTGCTTTCCTTGGGTTCTCTGTTTTTGTTAGTCCCCTTACTAGTAACATTCTCTATATTATCTTTACACCTTTCATTTAAGATCCATAATTATGTTCCAAAAGTTAATTATATCTCAGAAACTCCCAGGCTTATGAGAGAAATTTACTGAACGGAGAAGTTTATTTCTAAAGATAGAGTCCAGTGATTTCTGGCAATTTTATATAACTTTCTTCCACCTCACCAAAGGACATGACTAAAGAAAAA